AAAAAACTGAAATATTTCATTTCATACTTACAACTCCAGCTTTACTTCTTGTAGTACCAAGACAACAAAAATGTACATCAGCACCACGAAATGCTTCAGCATATTCATCAATTTTATCAAAATCTATTTCACGTTGTTCCTAAATGAAAATAAAAGAAGAAATTAAAAAAATATATATTAGATATAAATGTTAAATTACAATTCTTTCAAATTAATATTAATAAAATAGAAAATCAATTGTTTTTTGAATTTTAATTTGAATATTTGTAAGAAATTTAGTTTCAGATTTTCTCTTTCGAAAGAACAATGTAAAACTTCGGTAAAACATAATACATAAAAGAATAATTCAAAAGTTCTATTAACATTTCTTGTATTAAGAATTTAATTGTTAAATGTTTTAGATATTTATCTATGATTAACATTGTTATCAGTTCTTTACCTTTTAAAGAATAAAATTTTTTATGAATATGAAAATTCAAATCTGTTTCTATCATATATTGATGCAAATCAAGTTTGAAAAGCAATATATTTTTAAGCATTATTAATCAGTAGACAAAGACTTCAATCTGATAAAAATATTTTTATGTTTTAATCTATTATCGAAAAGTAATGCAATATTTTTCAAAAGATATTCTTCCTGTAAAACATTGATTAGCATGCAATTAGATATAAAATGCTTTAAATGTTCACTTTTTTATTTTTTGATTTCAAAAAATATGAAAAATCATATCGATACATATGAAAAGTACTTTTTTCAAAATATTTCCATATAAATATGATTATCTTTTAGTCTAGAAATATATCGAAAATTTGACATGAAAAACTAGAGCTTCATATCTGAATTTAGAGAATTAGTAACAAAAAAAAAAACAGAAAGTGAAATTTCCGAAAAGCTCAAAATTATCAATTTAAGCTATCTACTTTCATTATATTCTTCTATTATTGAATTTAAACGAGAGTTGTAATGCAACTTCATGATGAAATAGAACTTCTTCATAAAATTCTTTTTTTTGTATTCATCGTATAGAAAATTCAAATATTTTTTTTCTTCTTCAATTAACAAATTTCTAAAGATTTATTTTAATATAATACCGTTTTTTCTACATATTTATTATCAATATAATCAATTTTTCGACGACCAACAAGAATAATTTTTTTAAATAGATTATTATTGATTAATTCTTTTACAAGTGCTTTTCCTGATTCTCCTGTATAACCAGTGATCAAAGCAATTTTATCTGTAGACATCTTAAAATAAAAAAAAAAAAAGAAAAGAAAATAATTATGTATATACTTTCTACACTCTACTAATTACATTATCATGTTTACCATAACAGGAATAATATTTCATACATAAAAGAATAAGATACAAAAATAGTCGCATGGAAATTATCTCTTTCAAAGAATTGATGAAATAAAAAAAAGAAAATATATGTATGTAAGAATAAGAAAGAACAGTAACAAGATTTATTCAGGTTTTTTTAGCCAATAGAAAAAAATTAATGTCGCTAGAAAATTAATGATATTTATCATGCGGTAAGCGTAACAATCAATGTTATTTATTTGTATTACATAGCGACAATAATCTAGATATACGATTTAAAAAAATCCACATGTTTTTTTCTTTCTTTCAGCAAAAAAACAGAACATTCCCATAATGCAACATTTACATTAAATATTTATACTTATCAAGGGTATTTACTTTACTTAATCAGTTTTAAATATATATCGAATAATTTTATATTATTTGTTTTTTTCTTTTTTTTTTTTTGATTTCTTATGTAGACATTCAGCAGAAAGCAACATCAAATTATAATAACGAATCGAGTATGTGTACTTTTTAATATAAGAAATTTTTTATTATCAAAGTCAAGTACGTAAATAAAAGATATCAAGGATTTCTCATATAAATACATCAAAAAATTATTTAGTATTTTATATTATTATATGTGTACAGTGTCCTACATTGATAATTTGTTTTTTTTTCAAGAACGTATAATGTTATGAAGTTAGAATTCATGATTTATATTTTGTTCACACATGATAGGTTCAATGGATTAAATAGTTAAGAAATAACTTCTTGTAATTATTTAGTATTGATTGTCATTAATTATTAAAGTCATATATCTATTTATGAATAGAATTTTATACATGTATGTGTTATATTTAAGGAAAAGAAATATATAATGTTTTTGAATAGAAAAGAAGAAAAACAAAACATAAATATCTTTTTAGATTCTAAATACACAATCTTTATTCATCATAATTAGAATAAAAATAATTTAAATATTATTTTCTTTTTTTTGCTTTCATCAAAATAAAAATTTTGTAAGTGTCTGAAATTTTTTCATAAATTAAACTATCTTTTTTTTTCTTTTTTCTAAGATTTATTGAATAAAAATATGAAATAAATCACATCAAATGTTCAATGGAGATTAATTAACTATTTTTCAGAAAATATTGAAAATACGCCATATATTGATATTGATCTGCAGTTAAAAATCATATATATATATAATCATATTGAGCCAAATTTTAACCACAAAATTATAACTAAGATGATAATCGATGATTAAACTTTTACTAAGGACATTACTAAAAATCTATCTATCTATCTTTAAAATAGCAATATTCTTTCAATGACATTGTATAATGAAGATTGATCATTCCTATTAGTATATGTAGTATTAGAATAATAAATACTGAATCGATTATCAAGTTGAGTTAACCTAATCAGAAGGTGAGAGAACATATACTGTCAGCAATGTAACACTTCAATTCCTAGTAGATTTTCATCTTTATTTTTTTTTGTCTCCAAAGTCATTTTATATTAATTATTTCGAATAATAATAATAATTTATAATATCTACAAGGAATTAAATACAAATCAGAACGATGTTTGTTTCCAAAAAAAAAAAAGAGAAAAACTATATTAAGACTTAAGTTAAAATTCGATATTTAATTTTTTTTGTTTTTTTAAGGTTTCATATTGAAATTATCATGATATATGAATAAAAAGAAAAAAAATAAACTTAAATCAATATCATAGTAATCGGATATAATATTTAAATGATTGTTTTCCACAAATATATTAATAAAAGATATTTTTCACATATTATTGTAACTAATAGTATAAGTATGTAATAAAAATAAGAAATAATTTAATATGAAACTAAATTTACATAAGTAAATATTTATGAAAAATTATTTTTAAAGAAAGATCAACAGTTCTTGATTAAACGAATCACCAGTCATGAAAAAAAAAGAAAGAAAACAAATGACGCAGTAAACATAAGTTTTTTTTTTTTTGTAAATACAATGTTTAATGATCCGTAACATCAACTACGCTAATCATTATTTAGATTATTTTTTGTCTTAAATTATCGATAAGTGTCTGTTTACAAAACGGTATTTTTTATCTAGAAAACGATTCAAACTAGGCGTCGCTATTTCTTTCTTTTGGTAACCTTCATATAAATGTATTCTTTCATATTCTCCAATCATCATTGAAGTAACAAAAAAAACAAGTTAGTTTGTTTTGAATAAATATATTAGATTTTTCGAAAAACATTTACTGTTCTATTTTATAATATAATTCAAGGATGCCGATTTAATATGTATATATATATGTAAATAAGAATGAAGAAATTTATGTTTGAATAGATATGAATGAAAATGATTTGATTGTTGAAAGACAAAAAAACAAAAAGTGTTATATTAAAAAACTTTTTTAATTAATTCAACTTCAATGCTTTTGTTTTTTTTTTTTTAAATAAGAAAATTCAAGTCATTTGATAATTATGCATAATGATTAAATAATTTTATTATATTATGATGATTATATTTAGAAATAGATGGCATTCGAGTTTTATTTGAGTACAAAAATCTAATTCTACTTTATGAATGTTGATTATGAAATGTTTTTGAAAAAAATAAAACAGATTAATTGTTTCGAGAATTTTCTAGAAAACAAATATATATAGTTTGCTGAAGTTGCGTATTTGTTTTTCTCTTTGAGTAATCGAAAAAAACTACGTTTCAACCAATCAGAATGACAATGAAAAGTAGCCCATTGTAAAATTGATTACGAAGAAAAATCTATTAATATATATCAACATGTTTCTAAGGGGAAGACTATCGATTGATTTGTTTTTTAGCTTCTCTCTCATTCATTTATCTATCATCAACTATATTGGCAGCTGTCATATATAAATCAATGGTTCACAGAAAATGACGACTAACGTTTTTTTTTTTTTTTTTTACTTGTCATTATTCTTTTGATTATCTTGATTAAAACGAAGCCCAAAAAGTAAAATTTTTTTGTTTATGATTTTTTTTCTTGAGGACATGATTGTAAATCAATTACGCATCTTTAATGAAAAAACATATTGTTTCAATATGATCTTAAAAATTTCTTCATCTTAGTTTCTGTTCTCGAGATGATTGAAATAGGAAATTTCTATTCGTCAATGTCGATATTTTGAAAGAAGACAGAAGCATCAATCAGATTCATTATGAGACCTTTGAGAATACTTATCAAGTCTCTCCTTATCACGAACATATAGTACATTACTCATTTTAATCATTTTCACTAGTCAAGGTCTTGAATCAACTATTTTTACATTTGAAATGTGTGACTACTACTTTACTTTTTATCATTATAGAACTCGATGATATCTAAATATTTTCAAATTAATTCGAATATTAAAAACAAAAAAATAAATAGCATTTGTTTTTAAATTTTTTATAAAATAAACAGAAAAAAATTTCTTCTAAATAATAGAAAATGAATGGTGTCGAGTCGACCTTGATACATCTATCGCTTGTTCGAATGATTATTTTCTGACATTGCGTTCTCCAGATGATCGCGATGCATAATGACAAATTTTTGATGCCTACATCTTAAAAGAACGAAGAAAGAAAAAGAGAAAAACAACTCTCAACTAATCATTATGTTGGTGTTTATACACCTTAAAAACTCGAAAATTATGACGTAAATGCTATACATTGATTTGTACTAAATATGATGAAGTTGTAATTATTAATGTAAGATATTGACAATTGATCTATTAGTAATTAATTTTTTTTTATTGCGATTTCGTATTTCTTTATTGTTCAATAATAATGTTGTTTCGCTTCTTTATTAACTGTAATTTTCATAAATATATATATATTTATATATATGCATTTGAAATGCTAACGAAAGGCATTGTTGTATCGTTTTCTTTGATTCTCTTGATTGATTTTATGACGGCCTTGTAGCTTCTTCCCACCATCATCGCCTTCGTCGTTCTGTTCTACATGATATATACATACGTTGTCACCATCCAATAACGAAAAGAAACAAGTAGTTAAGTGAGAATACAGAAGAGCATCATTATCATTAGTATACACACATACATATACACACATTCAACACGACGATCGATTCAGGTAAAAGATAGGCGAAGCGTGCTAATACAATGAACAGAAGTAAAAAAAAACGACCGAAGAAAAAAGAAAAAAAAAGAATAAACTCGTTTAATCATTGTATTATCCACTATTCACATGTCAAACAATAGTTTTGATTTCTATAGGTATATCATCGTCGATCAATCACTACCGTTTGATGTTCTATTATACATTATCAATTGGTTACTCTTATTCTTTATTATTTCGTTAGTATTACCACAATGGTTAGTTGGTATGTATAAAGAGAAAAAAAAAAGAAAAATGCTTCATGTTTTGTTTTTCTTCTTCTTCTTCTTTCCATTTTGAAATAATCATATTTTCTTTTTAATATTAGCGAACCGTTTCATTCATACAAAGTTCCATTAAAAAATAATGGACAATCTATTATCGAACATAATCTTGTTACAATATATTTAAGTTTAGAATGGCCTAATAATATTAATGATAATCCAAATCTTATTATACATATTTTTGATAAAAGTAAAAAATAAAATAATTAAAAAAGAAATTTAATATTCTATTTTAATTTTTTTAAATATTTAGAAACATCTTCAAAAACATGTAAAATTGAACCATCAATGTCATATATTCAACAAAATCAATCATCAGGATTTGTCAATTCAATCAATCATCAACAACAACAACAACAACAAAATTTTGGATCAACATATCAACAACAGTATAATCATCATTCATCAGTTATTAATAATGAGCCACCAACAACAACAGGAACACTTACAACAGGCGATCATAATGATGTATCATCAACAACAACTACAGTAGTATTTAATAGTATACAACAACAACCATCAGCACCACCACCACCACCATTATCATCTATATCTCATACACCAATTCAACAAATAAAAAGTGAAGTTCAATCACAATTATCACCAGTTTATCGACGTCAACAAACACCTAATTCACCATCAACATGTTCATCAACAAATCAACAATATTTATCATCCCAACATGTCATACAGACACCATCATCTAATATTGATACTCAATCAAATATACAAATGTCACCAACATCAAAGACTATTAGGTACATAATAATAATTTATCTCAATAAAGTAATATACTGATTAAATAAAACAAAATTATATAGAAATCTTTTAATTTTAGAAGAAAATTATATACTTTTTATCATTAAAATATTTCTTATTACAAGGTCTATACCTTGTTTTTATAACTATAATATTTTTATTTTGATATGAGATGATTATTAATAACTATTTCTTTTTTTTGACGTATGTAAAAAAATAAAGCTGAAAGGATAGATTTAATCTTTCTGTTTCATCTGTTAATTAAACGAAAAGTAGTCCTCTACAATGATAAAAATCTTCTAATTAACTTTAGTTTTTTTTTTTCATTCATAAATAAAAATTATTCTTCAACTTGAAATTAGAAAGTTATATTGCATGACCTATTGAGAAAAAAAAACAAAACAAAACAAATATATCAATGTTTTTTTAAACTTTTCTATAGTCCAACATCATCAACTTCAATTCCAACAAAACAAAATATGACACACGTGATTGATTTACAACAATCTCCAGGTATTGCTCCATATCCATTGTCAACGTCATCAACGTCCTCGACATTCAAGGCTATAACATGTACTTGTTTAAAACCGCATATTGCTCATGAACATAATTGTCCTGCATTAAATTTAATGAAACAACAATCAAATACAAATATAAATTCTCAAACAATTGTTTGTCGACCACCAATTAATCGTTCAATAGCTCAACGTGCTGCTGTTGCTTCACAAATTCGTACAAATCGTGCTATTTCAATGGCCCCTACAAAAGATCAAGGTCAAACATCATCAACAACATTATTACAATTTTCAATTTCAAATTCAAAAACATCCGATTCATCATCATCAAATATAGGAACAATTGTTTCTCAACAACAACAACAACAACAATCAAAGTAAAAAAATCATTTTATTTTATTTTTTTTCTTATCTTTGCAATTATTAAGTTTTTCAACAATAAAAAAACCAATCGTACGACAACGTAGTAGTGGTTCAACAAATTCTCGTCAAAAAAAGAGACGTATTGTTAAACAAATTAGTTTACCAAATGGATCAAATCAAGATCAATCATCATTTTATAATCAATTTAATTTAAGTATGAAATTTATATTTATTGTTTTTTTGTTAGCAAAGAAAAAAAAAAAAACAAAATTTATTCATTAGATGATTCTCAACAAGAACAATCAACATTTATGATTAAAGAAGAACATATATCATCACCAAATTCAACAGTTAAATTAGTTTCACCATTTTCTATTCAAACAACAGTTACTAATTCTGAAATTGATCAAACAATAGATGATGTTATTAATGGTAAAGGTGATATAAGAATTGATGATTCATCATTTATACAAACAAAACGACAACAATTACCATCATCTCAACTTGTTTGGGTACAAAATGGAACAGTAACAACAAAAACATGGTTATCACCACTTTATCAAAAACAACAACAACAACAACAACAACAACAACAGCAACAACAGCAATCAACTTATGATTCAATTGGATCGGCTTTAACTCATCAAGATGTAGTAAATATTGCGCAACAAGTAGTTTTTCCAACGACTACAGAACAAAATCAAATTCATACTGAATTACAACCTTTAATCACGAATAATAGTAAAAAAAGAAATCGATTAAAGTCGACAAGTACTATTACACCTAAACGTAATCGTAATCGTAAAATTATTCTTGATCGACCACATTCAACAGGTACTGCATCTTCTGAACAAGAACCTATAGAAAAAACAATAACAAATTCACCTATAACACCTACACTCAATTTAATTGATAAACCTATATCATGGTCAAATATTCCAACATCATCCTCATTAGGATCTGTAACAACAACAACAACAACAAATACTCCTTTATTAAATTCAAATCAGGATTTATTATCATTTGATAAGAATGATTCATGGCAAACGCAATGTATTGAGAATGTTGATGCTATCTTAGATGAATTTCAACTTGTTTCTATTGATGAACAACGAATAAATTCCAATCATCATTTTGATTTTGATTTAAGTACAGATGGTTTTTCATCGAAAGGTACTGATCAATTTTGTTCATCAACACCACCACCACCATTAACAATTGATAATCAAAGATATTCATTATTAACAACTGATAAATTACTTAATTCATCAATAATTAATTCTCGATTAGTTACTGGTGATGTTGATGTTTATGAACATTTTCTTAATCCTCATTCATCATCACTATGGCAAGAAAATCAAGTAACATCATCTGTATCAACACCACCAGATTATCATATTAATAATTTTTCTATACACCAACAACAACACCAACAACACCAACAACAACAACATCAACAACATCAACAACAACAACAGACACAACAACAGTATTATTCTTCACAAATAAATGAAGAACATTTTGATTCGTCTAATTTACAATCCCAAGTAAGATTGTTATTCGATGTGCAATCTTAAATTTTGTTAGTTGATAAACTTTAAATTAGGCAACGAAAAAAAAAATAAAATAAAATAAAATAAAATAAAAACAAAAAATGATACAATTTAAATTTTGTCTTTTTCTTTTCTTTTTTTTTTTTTTTTAAATTTTCAATTAAAATTGTATTTTTACTTTATAATAATAAATTTATTTGTGTTAATTTTCGTTTGATTTAAGAAAATATTATTTTTCTTAATGAAATATTCTTATTGATAAGTTTTTTTTTAGAATATAAAACTTTTGCATGAAATCAAAAATTTAATTTTAGCTTTCATATAAGAAAATCTATAGAATTTTCAATTTGCAGTGATCTAAAGCGAGAATATCTATAAGATTTCATAATTTCGATGGCGAAATATTTCAATTTATGTCATAAGTTTTTTTTTTTGCCTATTGCTCATCAGAAACAGTTAAAAATTTGATGAAATCATATTAGTAAATCATTCATGTCTTCTGATATAAATACCTTTTCAACTATTTTGATATATATTTATATCAAATATACGTATACAATTATACATGACATATGACATACATAGGGACGATTTCAATCCAGTTCATGTCCGTGACATTTTTCGAAATAAGCAGTTGTCGTTTCAAGATATTATCATAAAAAAAGGACCTTGGTCGGTTTAGATATACATATATATATCACAGATTAGTGGATCAGAAAATAGTCATGATTGATATCATTCTTTTTGCAATAATTATCATAAAAAAAAAAATTTGATATTGATTGTACAAAATGATTGTTATCATACACTAGTTGACAGAGTAGAAAAAGAACAAAAACAATAGTTGAATCAGCTATGACGTTTTAATAAAGTCAAAGACAATAGTCATATTTTCAACGCAATACAAACTTTTTATATCTTTTATTTATCCTCAATAAACTGATTGTTTGTATTCTTTTTTTGTTACTATGACAAATATAGAAAAAGAAAAACGTAGAAGATCTTATAGAAAATCATACAGTTTATAGAATCTCTTGTTCAATTGATTATAAACATTGATTTTAATTCATCGAATGCAAAATTCATCGCAATTGAATCATACTGAATAAATAAAACAATATTTAAATGTTTGTCGATATGAATTTTTCATTGAACATATAGATGCGACATCTCTTTAATGATTAATTAAGTTTCATTGGAAGCTTATAACAAATAATGTTTTCGTTTAAAAAAAACACAGAAGAAAGATTTACTTTTATTTATTTATTTATTTTCAATCAATATTAAATGAATACAGATGATTTGCAAGTATCTTTTTTTGTATCAAATGAACAAAAAACTGATCAACTTTCAGATAAATCATCTAAACAAATGAATACAATTGATAAACAAATATCAAAACCAAAATGTACACGTTGTGGTACAACACAATTAATTGATATAACACATCATGAATTTCCTAAACAAAAAGGTCTTGTATTTGAATGTATGTCATGTGGAAATAATTCTCTTCGATCAAATGTATCTGATGATGAACGACAACGTCGTTTAGCTAAAATTGCTGCTGATCATTTAAATATAATTGAATGTCGATTTTGTCAAAAACGTTTTAATTCAAGTAATGATTATTTAATGCATTTACGTAATGATCATGCTTCAAATACAAAAAAATGAAATTTTGTTTGAAATAAATACACTTCAATTTCAATTCAGATATATATAATTCTTAACATAACCAAGTTTGATAGGTATCTTTGTCTTTTTGGTAAAAAAAAAAAACAAACATTTGAATAATCTTCATTTTGTTTTCTTGTGCTTATCTTTTTTTTGTATTATCTGAACAATGTTTCACGGCTGTCTCTCTCTCTCTCTTGTTTTTTACATGTATGTTTATTTTTTTTTTTTTTTTTTTGATTGTTGATGTTTGTCTAGAGAATAAAAATACAAGTAAATATTTAATAAACATTTTCATGCTAATTATTACTATTAATTGAATGTGTAATCGAACGTGAAGTCTTTCAAATATATGTTTGTACCGTATCATTATATTTATGCGTAGTGATAATCATCAAAGAAAAAGTTTAGCACGTGTGATTGATAAATGACAAGATCGCTCTTATGAAAATACTGTAAAAAAGAAAAGGATACAAAGAAGAAAAAAAACTAATCTAAGCGTTCATGAATATCTTATTAAAATTACTCATAGATTTGTCCTTGATTTTTCAGATATGAAAAAAAAAATAAGATAGTTAATCATTATAATAAGAGAACCTGTAGATCAAGTACCTTGACAGATATGTATTACATCTACGTCTGATAAATGAATCTGCTGGTTTTTTTTTCTTCTATATTACATTAACAAACACAAGAAATTCTCATCAATCATTTTGTTGACTCTTGTTAAAATAATAAATATGTTATAATGAAGAAATATGAAAAATTATTAATTGATTGATGTTGTATTGCAGTTTTTAATCTTCAAATAAAAAGTCTTAGGAATATAAAATGATATGAAATTCGATTAGTTCAAGAAGAATCTGAGTCATTTGGGTTTATACAAGATCGAGATTTTTAGACTGTAATGTTCAGCAGTTATAAAAGCTTTGTAGAAAGATTCAATTTTGATGAATTCATCTTCGGTCATCTGAAAACAGATCACAATAGAAGTAAAGAGCTACATTGAACCGAATAATGATGTATGTTTTCAGTATTAATTGTAAACTAAATTTACTAGACCTAGATTTTCGAAATTTTCTATCTAATAACTTTAAATTGTATTCAAGTTCACTCGAAGGTCGAACTGTTTTAGAAAAACTCTATAACTCTTGAGAGTACAGTCTAAAAGTCTTGGCCATGAATGAAGAAAATCTAACTTCAAGGAAAAGATTCCTAAAAACTTCAGTCAATATTCATCTTATCAGCCACTTTGAATTAATCAAGTTTCACAATTTTTTGTAAAAATACTCTCAAAATTTCTTGCAGCTTATTACTTACTTTCTATCAAAAGTTACTTAGAAAAACAGCAACATTTATTTCTTTTTTTTTTTGCAAATAACAGAGTTTAGAAAATAGTGAGTCATACGTTTAATTAGTGATTGTATTGATGACTCCATATTTTCAAGATAAAGAAAGAATGCGCCCTATTTGGAATTATATATGATAATTATATAGAAGCCACGAAATACTTGTATGGTATTCTTGAAATGTGGTCACTTGAGTATTATCATCAATTATCATGTCCTCTACGACAAATATTCGATCGATTGATTCATTTTCATCGAAATCTTCATTGGCTTCACCAACAGTTCACACATCAAAACAATCAAAATTTCATAAAATTATTCAATTTTTTTTATCCTTTAATATCGATCGAAAAGAAACAGATGATAATACACAACAACATGCTAAATTAGTTTTACGTGCATTTTTTATTTATATGATTTTTGTTGGTAATATTTTAATTGTTGCTTTTTTATCTCAATCAAAACATGATTTTTTTATTACAAATACATTTGAATATCATTTAATTGATGCTCAATTTCCTGTAAAATCTGCTTGGCTTGAACAAAATATTCGAACTAGTCCTTATAAAAATGCACAAAATAAATATGGTGATGCATTTATGATTAATTTTAATCAAATTGCTACATTTGATGATGTAAATAATTAATTTTTGAAAAAAAATAATCAAAAGAAAAGATTCTAAATAATATAAATAATTTTAGATATGGCAATTTATGAATGAAACAATGGGAAATGTTTTTTATCGTTCACATATATGGAAATCAAATCCACGTGTTACTTCTCAACGTTCTATACGTTGGGTACTTGATCATTTTTTAATGATTGGTGTTATTCGAATGAGACAAGTTCGTGTTAAAGCTGAAAAATGTAATATACCAAAATCATATTCAGATGAAATAGCTGATTGTTATCCAGCATATTCATTAAAGAAAAAAGATACAGATCCTTGTAAGTTTTCAAAAAATCAAATATTAAACATCTTAGAACTTATATTTGAGAAATTTAGGAATTATAAACTGATGATTTCTTTATTCCTACAAAGTCAAAATTGAAGTAAATTTCAATCAGTTATTAAACGATTCAAAATTTAAGGGTACCCTTCCTCTTTTTTCTTGATCTTTTCTGGTTTATAAGGATGATCAAGCTAAAATTTTTACCATCGATACTTTGAAGTATCGTTCAGAGATATCATTAGCCGTTTTCGTGTTTGACTTATCTCGCAGGATTCTAGATACCAAGACTTCGGTTTTGGCATTGAACATTTATGTATTTCTCCGTAAAAAAAAAAGAAAGCAAAATTTTTGCATAAGTATCTCTAAAAAATGTCCATTTCAATCGGATGTAATTTAATGAGAATCATCACCAGATAGGTATAGAATTCTACATGAATGTCAAAAAGCTTAATGAAAATTTTGAAGAATAATCACTTAAGAGTAATTTAATCTTTGATTATAGACATCAAATTTTATTACGCATAATGAAACATCACTAATTTACATTTTAATAAGTCTGTTCATGTATGGTTCATTAGACATTCATAAATTATATATTCTCGTATTTTCTATTTATAATTAGATTTCAAAAAAGATGTTAAGGATTGGAGAAACTATCATACCCATCTATCATAAGTTTGTAACTGTTATCATTCTTAAAATTTGAACTTGAACTATTCTTGAAATCAGTAAATGTTATTTTCTTATTATAAAATAATTTTATAGTTGGTCCTATCACATTCAGTGATAGTACAGAAATAAATATGAAACAAGCATGGAATTACATGTCAGCTGATGCAACTGGTATGGAGTCATATACTGGTCAATATGGTACATATGATGGTAGTGGATATGTAGCTGATCTTGCTCAATATGAACGAACAAATAAACGTTTTACAAATGATTTAAATGAATTAGAAAAATTTCATTGGCTTGATAAAGCAACACGAGCATTATTTATTGATGTTATAACATATAATCCAAGTGTTAATTTATTTTCATATATAAAACTGATATTTGAAATGCCATTAACAGGTGGAATTTTTCCATCGTATAAAATTGAAAATAAACAATTATTAAGAGTAAATTAGGAATAAAAATAAAAATTTATTTTTTTAAAAAGCTTGAAGTTTCTTTTTTTTTTTAGTATATAACTTCAACAAAATATATTCTTATTGGATGTGAAATTATTATTGTTACATTTACTATTGCATTTATTTTTATTGAAATAGTAAAAATTATAGAATTAAGATCAAAAATTTTTCTTAATATTTGGAATTGGATTGATATTATTCTTTTAGTAAGTAGAATTTAACTTGCTACAGATGCATAAATTTCAGTTTTGACGAACTATTAAGTTTTTCTTAGAAAAGAACATAAAAATGACCAGTTTTTTGTTATCTTTGATTGAGCGGAGAGGAATCCTACAGCAGTCAAAACTGATGCATTTTGAACCATAAGTAGATCTTGAGAACCTAATATTATAGAGAATAAAAATGAGCATATTGCCAAAATTTTAGTGCTAGTTCAATACATGATGGATTATAAGAGTTTGTATAATTTATTCGGGAAAAACTCTCGTCACAGGTTTCAAGTCGAAAATCTTGGTAGAATTCACCATTTTTTTGACTCATATTTGTCGATTCTTCATAGATTATCCAATTTTTTGGAACAACTGACCTTTAGAAAGAAGGCTTAAAGAAGAAATAAAATAAAATAAATATTACTTATTTTTTATTTTCTTTAGATTATTTCGATTTTAATGATTATTGCTAATATAGTTCGTCTTTTAATTATCAATTCTACATTATATGGTAAAATGTCTATATATATTTCAACATTTGATGATTTAACTATTAGATTAATACGTCTTCAAAGTTTATTTGATACTTTAAGTATTCTTCTTACATCAATTAGTATTATACGTATACTGAAATATTGTGATTTTGCTTTAACAATTGTTCGAATAAAGGCAACAATTCAAAGATGTTTTGGAGATCTTATTGGCTTTCTTATTATGTTTGTTGCAATTATGATTGCTTACGCACAAGTAAATTTAAACATATTGAATTAAGATCCATAATGAATCTCTTCCACAGAATAAACTATTTTTTATCATCAGAGATTTTCTATGGAACTAGAAGTTATTGAATCGTCAGTTATTGACGATGCTGGTTCTGAATATGATCATAAGAAATTTTCTTAAGTGTTAAAATAACAGTTGTCTGAACTAAGAATTTATTTGTTACAATCATTTTCGATCTACTTGGTTTGAACAGTATATCGACCTGTTTATAAAACAATAAATTTTTCGGTTTCCTTAAAAATAAGTTTCAAATAAAATAATATCATTTTGAAGATTGTCACATTAAAATGTTTATATATGTCTTTTGTATGAATTAATATGGCTCTATTGTCTGTAAAAAAAATAATCATTTGAAACAGAAAAAAATTACTGTTTGTTTGGAAATTCGATATGTTCTATAATCGAAACAAACTAAAAGAGTTTGTTATCCTGAAAAACCAGCACATATTTGACGGCAACATAGTAGATAAACTATAACCTACTAGCCTTCGATAATAAAGCGATTGATCAGTTGAAAAAGTTCCCTTGTGAGAGAAACATGATAATTTTATTTATATTCAATCTTCCTATCA